GGTCCCGGTGCTGCTCCCCTCGGCTCGCTGGGCGCCTCTGTGGCGCCGCCGTTACGGACGGAGGAAAAGAACGACTTGGTTTTTGTTTCCCCGCGCCGTGAGGCCGGGGCCGGCAGCGCAGTGGCGTTTGCGGTGCGGCGGGCACTGCAGAGAAGGTGTTCGTGTTGGGAACTGGCGGGTCCGAGCGCGTTCAGTTCCCGCCGGTACTGTCGCGGCTCTGAACACCTCCCGAGCGTGGGGAGACGCCAGCCCTGGAAATCTGGGCAGTGCCAGCCTTGGGTAGAGTATCGCCCCGGCATTGCGGAGCTCACCCCGCCAGTAACGCCCGCCGTAGGGCCGGGTGCGGGAAGGTGCCCGCTCCCCCGCGCAGGGGCCGCCTTGGCACCGCCCGGGGCTCCCTCTGGGCCGAGACTGCTGCTGCACCTGACACTAAAAGTTACTAGTAGGTAGTAACATTGCTACCGAGCGGTAAATAAAAAGCAACTTTAATTCCTTCTTAATTTAATACTGGTGGAACAGTAGTAAAAAACCCCAACTAGATAAGTGTACTGAAAATATTAACTGTAAAATCCGTGCTGACTCTGTAGATCCATTTTGGAAGTATTTTCTATGCAGTCAGTCTGGTTTCCTCGGGTAAAATTTATTGAACACTTTAATCACCATTTTCCTGCTCCTTTTTGCTGTTTTAGAGTCAACTAAATAAAACCAACAGGGGATTCTGTTACGATGTGCATCATTAACAGGATTGTTTATTAATCAGTAACATCTGCTTGCTTACTTGTTCATTGAAGACAAATAGTAATTTGGTTGCTGGAACATTTATAGTTGCTTGAGATACACAGTAGTGAAGAATTATCTCTGACTTTCTGGTCTGAATTTAAGCAAACACAAAATGCCACAATGCCATACTTAAAATAATTTTCAAAAGGAGGCATGTGCAATAAATTAACAAAGTCTTTTACTCTTTTCAAAAATAAAAAGGTTGGTACAGCATCGTCTTGTGCTTTAAGACAGAAAGCAAAACAATTCCTTGATACGTTTTTGAACATCACGTTTTCTGGCCAGAAAGAACATTACATCTTTCATTATCTTTTTATGTATGCACTATTGCATTTGGCATTGTTACACTGCAGAAGCCACAGAATGGAAGCAACAGTATTTTGTAAAAGAATCGTAATTTCTCTTACAGTTTTAAGGAAGAAAAAGAGATAATAATATTCTAGATAGAGTGATAAGGAAACCTGACAAGCTGAAGTGTACTCTGTCTCCATGCATTTTTTCTAACATCAGTCAACAAAATCGATGAGTATCAAGAAAAACATTTCAGTTGCAAACAAGCATTCATAGCCATCCACCAAATTGCAGCTTGTTTGGTAAATAGACTCTGGAAAGGTAATCTGATGAAAGAGAAGTTAAAACTTGAATTTCAGCCTTCAGTTTAGATGCTGCCATAATTTCCAGCTAAAAAAAGAACAAATTATTTTGTAATACTGTAACAGCCTGACCTAGGGTTAGGTAATTAGTTAAGAAAGAATTACACTTGATGAATGTGCATGTAAAACTGTAAAGTGAGTACTATTGGAAAGGGTGCTGCAAAATCCCTGTCACTGAGCTGAGCTTTATTTTATTGTATGTTCATGTGTTCTCTAGTGTGTACCTTGCAGTAACAGACAATTTATGAGTATAAACACGAAGAAGATACACAATGCCTTTTCTTCCTTTCTAATGATCTCACACAATATATGCCTGAATTGAGATGTATGCTTTAAAAGCTACAGGCAAGATTAGAGGCCTAGCACTGAGTAAGTAACTCCTGTAAGTATTCCCCTATTTGTAAAGACATAATATATTCTGTACTATTTAAGAAAGCAGTAAAATTCCATGTCACCATCAGATGACTAACAGCAGGAAAGCTTAAAATGCTGCCAGCTCTGGCCTGTGAGCTATCACAGAATCATCTAGGTTGGAAAAGACCTTGAAGATCATCTAGTCCAACATATTGAGGCCCCCTGATTCAGAGAGACATCCCAGGGCATGGGCTTTCTCAATCTTGCCTTCTTCTAGGGCTGTAAAACCTTACTGGTTCTGCTACGGTAAGAGTTTGTCATCATAAAGAGGAACAGGATTGCATACGATAGGATCTGTCCTGTGGGGAGTAAGAAATAGGAAACAATAGGTTTATACATACTTCTTTTCTCCACATTGGCTGACAAGCAATGTAAGGTCTCTTTTGTATACTTGCTAACTTATTTTGATCTTGCTTTGTAAATGGAATCAAGGCACCTTTGTGTATATTTAATCTGAAAAGAAAATAAAGTTGTTAAATTTTCTCATATACTTTAAAAAATATTTATTCCAACTTATTTCTTTATATTGTCAAACTAATGTATGAAAAAAATATGGATTTAAATGTCAGTTGTCTTTTTGTGCATTAAGTCCGACTGCATTTTCTGTCTATGAAACAGAAGGATATTTCTTTTTCTTTTGCGGAAATAACTAACCTCTCAAGATCAGATGGAAGGAGACCAAGCCACTTTATAGATGGAACGGTGAGATGATGGGCTTCAAAAGACATTGACTAAAATAAGAAAGGTCAGCTATAAGATTCAGTGACTTTTATTTTAAATTATTAGAGATATATGCTTTCCAAGGTCATGGCCAGATTTTATTACAAAGATAATCAGGTATTTTCACCATCAGAATGATATAGGAGAACACAGTAAAACTGAAGCTTACCATATCCCCTTGCCAGAAACGGTTACTTTGCTAAAATTTGCATCCTTCAGCCTATGACAGATTCTAGGCTAGTCCAGTTTGGCTGACCTAATCTGAATAGTTTCGTTGTGTCTTTTACAGTCAGTAGAAGTCTGATTGCCCCCCCCCCCCCCCAAAAAAAAAAAAAAAAAAACAGCCAGGAGGAGCAATAACAATCAAATCTGGAATTTTCTGATATTTTCTGCTGGAAAGTACCACACTATTTAAAAATAGCCTAAAGGAGGCTTCATCTGGTCCAGTATCATGGCTACAGTAAATATTTTAGGGAAAAAAGTAAAAACAAATAAGCAATTAATGATAATTCTCAGAATACTCCCCCTGCTCCCAACGATTTTTGACTCCAACTTTCTGAGCCAGAAGTGGTGGTGGTGTAATACTTGACTTTGTTGGGTTGCTTTTAGAATCCGTGGAAACTTTTGTCATCTACAGCACCCTACAGCAAAGTATCACAGTTAAATTACTTGTTGTATAAAGGAATACTTCCATTGTTTGTAATGACACATTCTAGTTTCATTTGATGCACCTGTTGCTTTGTAACTGAACAAAATAAACTTTCAAAGGAGCCTGACTGTTTAATGCTGAAAGATGGTGTTTTATCAGTTTACACACCTTTGCAGGAGAGTTGAAGGTGACAGCTCACCTGAAAACTTGGGAGTTCTGTCTCCGTCCATGTCCTCGAGGCATATGTTATGACACATATTGGAACTCTGACATCATCGATGTCTAAGAGTTTTCTGAAGTTCATTTTGGTTTGGTATTGGGTTTTTTACTTTGCCTGTTCTTTCTCCCTTGTTCTACTGAACAGTTTGCCTATCTGCTCCTGCCCTCTGTCTTCACCTTAGTCTGCCTGCCCTCCATACCGCCTTTCCTGTACCTCGTCCTTTAGCAATGTAATACAACAATGCTTTCTTGTTCCCTGTGCCTCTTCTTCCATACTGTTCCACACTAACACATGTATCCATAAGCAAACTCTCGCCCCAAAACAAAACCTTTACCAACATAACATGATTTTGTGGAGAATCACCCATCTCACAAGTTATGTCTTCCTTCTCCTCTCAAGGTCCCTCCAGCTTTCGTTTCACTTCTAAGGCAGAAACAAAGCAAAATGGAGAACACTTTTCTATTTGGACTGCCTGAAAACTGCCTGTGCAGCAGAGGAAAACTGAAATAGTTAAATGAAACACCTGTCATGGTTACCCTGTTTCTCTTTGTTGCAGGTAGGAGCCGTTTTTCTGCAGATAAACAAGGCCTAAAAACTGTGTCTTTGTGTTGAAACAAAATTATAACAGGCAGTAACCATTCTAACAAAGGCTACAGCATTCTGTACATTCCAGTTTCAAGGCTGGGCTACAAAACAATGTATTCAAAGTGGAACAATTATACTCACCACGGATCCATATTTGTAGATGCACATTATTTCTACACCTAGGTTGCAGAATACCAAATGTCAAGTGTCTGTTTATCTGCACACTGGGCATGTTTAAGAAGACTGCACTAAGAATTCAATTTTATGGTATAACACTTATGGCTTTATGATTAGTGACGTTCTTTATGGTTTAACGATTATTTTTAGAGTATGTCAAAATAATCAGAATTTGAGCATAATATGTCACCTTTTATATAGTTAAATGTTTCATGCTGTCTGTGCCTAGTCAATTCAAAATAAAGGATAACAGGGTCTTTTACGCATTGTCCAACATCTATCATGAAAACTGTTTCTTGTGTAATCCCTATCTCTTCATACTATTGCTTTGAGCAGCTGCTTCTTGTTTTGCAGAAATCTCTCTAATTTCAGATGGGATCAGTGTAGATACATCAGAGATTTTCTATATTGTGTATGTGGATTCAGATTCTGAATTCAGTCTAAGGCATACACACTCACAAACACAGAATCCCTCATGAAATGAGGGAAGACCTACCATTGATGTAATAGAATAGCACATCCAGAATGGGATGGACTTGGTTTAGGATTAACTTTATTCCTGCTGTTATCAGGTTTGTAGTTTCTAGCTTTCACTACTGTAAACTCTTGACATGAGTGCTGAATTATTAATATAAATGTATGTGAACTACTTTAAAACCAATAAAAGACTCGCTTTGTTCAAACATACTATTTTCTTCATGTCTGTCTGGTCTAACATAGTTTAAAATTTTGCTTTATACTAAACTGAGCAACATTTACGTAAGTTCCTGTTACTTCCTTCTATTTTACAAAAGGAATAGTATACCCAACAGCTGGAATTCTTGACAGAGCAACATTTTCAATGGTGTTTAACTCTGTAAAGATATAGCTAGGACTTCCTGAGACTTTTAGAAGTAGTCAAGTGCCTAACTCCCATAAAAATCAGTGGAACCATGCAATGGATCATAAAATATCACTATTCTTACCCTCATTTTTAGGTCCACAGGTACTTTCAAAATTTAACTCTATTCTGAGCTACAAATTCTATTTTCTTTTTTCCTTATTAAATACAAGGTAAGATTCTTATTAATACCTCAGAACACAACAAATCATCACAGAGGGTAAGGGTATATTCAATGCAGATGAAAAGCCAGTACTGTTATTTTACTTAAACTACTTTCTTACTCCTAGATATATTCTACATAAATCAGGAACTTCCTGATTGTGTTGGAACTCTGTGTTCTGAGTACCTTCCTATAAAAGTGAGAAAAGACATTCTAAATAAATTTTGCTTTCCTTTTATGTCATTGAACTTCTACAGATTTACCATGTGGATCTGCATCCATAAGGGCGAAAATAGGAATTTGGAAAGAATCCCACAGCTTTCTGACCAAAAGTCGTGTATTAAGATCTGGTACACCTCTTCCCTAAGGAAATAAAATAAAAGCAGACAGTTTTAAACTAATTAAAATGACATTTGGCTATGTATGTGTTTACATTTGTCATTTAAAATCAAGCAAACAAACAAAACACTGGCAGAAATATTTCTCCAACAGCTATTTTGGAGGGAAGGCTCCATGTTCCTGCTCTGGCTCTGTGAGGAGGGAAGGAGGAGCATGACACATGCTCTGGATTACAGGCACTGGAGGAGTATCATACATTGCTCTATACAAGGAGTTAATCTGGAAGGTCTGGGAGTTCATGTATAGATGTACCCTGGTATCTATATAAGCTGGTGTAAGAAGGCCAGTTTTTTCTTCTCAGAAATATTTATGGCACTAATAAAACCACATAAAACAAGTTCTTGTTTTGACTGACTATAACTAGACAACATGTGGCATAGTATAAACACTTCTCTCTCTTCTGCATGGGGATATGTTTTTTCTCATTGTGGGACAAATTTGTCCCAGAACAAGTAGGTATGCATATTCCATTTACACATTCCTAACAATTCTCCGGGCTCCATAGCTCTTTTCAGTACAATCCAAAGTCAACCAATTCTGTTTCATGTGGGTTTGCTAACGTGGGATCCTGAAGGACAAAAGGTTACTCGACAGTTAAGCCTTTATAAGACTGAGTGGGGCAACTACTTTGCAGCAGCATGTGAAGTTGATAAGCTACCAAGCTCTAAGGAGATGCTGGGAGGAAATAAGTCTTTAGAATGTGTATTTTGTATTTCTATGAGGATAATAAAATCTAAAAAAAATATTGTTAGATATGTTTCATATTAATTTTATTATGTTTTTTTGACCAACTTTGAGCACCACTACAATGCTGAAGTATTATTTAAATTCTTACATCTAGCTAGACGATATGAAATGCAAGATGCATACCGTAATCATTATACATGGGGACAATTTATTGCAGAAGTCATCATCCAGCAGTCTCTGAAAAGTTGCATCTTTTTCTACAATTAACATAAATTTGGCGTGTGAGATTAAATCTTTTTTGTTAAGGCGAGCTGCATGTAAAATGATCCATCACACCAATCAATTAAAACTAAATGCTCTAAAATACCTGTTCTGGAGCCAAAAGCAGTGTTCATGATTCAATTTCAGAGCCAACAAGCAAAGAAAAAAAATACCAGAACATTGTTTAACTTGGAATATTCTTTGTTTTTACTTTATTTTTTCAGTCTACAACCAGAGTTGTTGCTCAAAGGATACTTTTAATTCCTTGAACATTAGATGGCACAGTGACTGCCTAAAACAACAAAAATGAGATTAATAATTTTAAATAGAGAAAATGATATATTTTAAAATAACAACATTAGGTAATGAAGAACACAATTACATCCTGAAACAACCATTCATCTTCTATATATAAGATCAATCTTGACATTTTCACTTCTTTATAAGGGTATTGAACCATTCATATCCTGCTCTGTTGTATGATTGTGTAGGAGTCCTGTTAAAAAAAAGATGCTTTTCAAAAATATTTGTGCTACTGTCACAGGAGATTGTTCACCATATGGGCATTACAGAGATAACAATGTCTTGATTTTTTTTATCCATTTTAGCCAGAAAAAAAGTCAGCTTGGTGCGAAGACTGCAAATTTAATACAAGCTTAAAACATTTAAATATTCTTTTTGGAAGAAAAAATTTCATACCCTTTATTAACCTACAACCTGATTTTTTAAGTATTTTTGAGCAATAATTTGAAGACATAGTAATGTTTACTTTATATCTCATATTAGGAATGGCTCAATCTGGCAGGCATATGGGTGAGGAAACAGGAACTGGAGGAAGAACTTGGCAAAAGAATATGTATATATTGAAGTGTGTGGTCTGTTTCTACTTCTGACTGCTAAATCACCTCTGGTGCCAGGGTGGAACAACTCAACAAATAAAAATATGAAGAGCTGCAGAAGAGCATTAATAACAGGCAACTTTATGCTCTGCTTAAAAATTAAGTATAATGGGCAGCTCAGGTTTATCTTTCTGTTTTGAAGTTATCAAATTAGGCTTACAGTGAGCACATTTTGTAGGAAATCACGACAACAGTCAGCAAGTCTGAATTCTATTCCTGCTTTCACATTCTGCATCGTCATAGGAAATCTTTCAGGACTAGATTAGTTGAATCTCATCTCCTCAAACCACTTTTGGATCTTGACTCTTATGAAATCATGTTTATAAACTTCTCTTTAGCTCAGTACCACCTTTGATAAAACTAGTTGACAATACAAGACGTTCTAATGTCTCTATAAGTGGTAATCCTGAGACCAAACAGCCTGATACTATATACCTTTGGTTGTAAATTGCTGGGCACATGAAGACAATATCAATTCTTATGCTGATGGATTATCATCATTAAACTTCTGTAAATGAAAACACAATTTGGCTCCAGAAAGAGATTCATCTCTCTAATTATAGAGGCTCAGTTCAGTCTCTTGTCTGTGCTGTTGCCACTAGAGAGTCTACCCAGTGTGCTAGAAGCAGTTCACTGAGGACCATATATGTTAACTCAGGCTGTAAAACTTGTTTTCTTACTCTGCCAGAAATCAATCTATTGTGACAGAAACAAAGAATGTTCAGAGTGCCCAGGGTTCTTTGATTCAGAGCACTTATTTGACACAACACTGTAATATAAATCCTAAGATACACTATATGCCTTCGTCTGCAAGGCTCCCATGGTAGAAGGTAGTGCTAAAACTCATATCCAAAGGATATATTCCTGATGAGTATATAGCTGAGCTTCAGGATTGCAATACAGTTGAGCAATACTTTTTACCTCTCTCTTTTCACCCAGTCTGTAATGTCTCAATTTGCCACAAGCACAGGTCTGTATAATAAATGTGTACAGTAACTTCAGCTACAAGAAGTGCAGAATATCATGCTATGGTAGATGCTATGAATTACTGGTTTTTATAATACATACTGTTGCACTGCAGATACAATTCACTTTTGTACCATCTTCCTCAGTGTAAATTAAATTACCAGCAACAAAACCTTTAGTTGTAGATAGCTGAAAAAAAAAATAGTAAGCTGTATACAGTAAATGGGAATATTGTTATATTGCACAGGCAAAACAAGAAACTTCTGAAAAGAATTCTGACTCCTAACAAGCAGTTATTGACCACCATCAACCTTGTAAATGCTAAGCAATGCTGTTGGACACAAGGGCTTACTTACAATAAGTTGTGTTAACAACTGCATGTTTAGATACAAAGGAATTCTTGTAAGGCGTGAGACAGGAGTAAATTTGAAAGGCTGTTACATCTCTTACTTACTTTAAATTTTCATTTAACCCCCAAGTTAGCAAAATAATTTGAGCACAAATTGCTGAACAGATGTCCTGCACTCTGAAGTTTAAGTACTACCTTCACTAGATAATAGCAAAAAGCCCTGTGTTTTTAGCTGGAAGTTAGTCCCAAACTCTTTGGAGCAAGGAAACTCTATGAAATTGTCTTTGAAGAAAAAAACCTTTCGTGTGCTATGATAAACCATAATTACATTTCATTTGCACAAATTACACTTTTAATTTAACTTATGTACTTCCTAATGATAACCTTTCTTGATATTTCATCTTTCAGTGCAATCTATATGATTTGGAAATAATGAAAAAAACATTTGTAACAAGCCACTTACTATATGTAGACTTCTCCGAGGTATCTTAAGCATGCAAGAAATGTCATTGATTATATTGTCCACAACACTTTGGCTACCAAACAGTCGTGTATCTGAATAATATATATCTCTATCAAGACAAAATATTGTATTTGTAATTATAATACAGAAACAGCTATAGGCTCATGATAATTTTATAGAGGGCATGGATAATCAGAGGGCATTTTACGTAGAGGAATCCATTATCCTACAGGTTTGCATCCTACAGACTGTTTTTCACAAAAACAGTCTTAAAATACAACTTTATTTGAAATTACAGAAATGTAACATGTTACCTTTTAGTTGCATAAGTATTGCTCTGCACCATCTTATAGATCATAGATAATATCTTGAGCATCAGTGCTGAAAATATATATTTTACAAAATATTTTATCTGTTTTCATAAATGCATATACAATAATTTGTCTTTATATTGAGCCATCTTGGTGTCTTGTAAAATAAAACTTTGCAACGTATATTTTAATGTGCTGTGAAAATACAGAGAGACTGTACTAATCAATAGACTCAAGAATTTCTAGCATAATTAGAAAAAATATGATGGAGCTAAGTGACAGAATGTATGCCCTGCTGTCCAGGCCAAGAACTTAAATGACTGAGTTAGAAAAATAAATTAGCTTATTGTCCGTATTCCAACATTCCTTTACTAGCTAGCTTTTTGAAGAAGGGTGATGTTTTGACATTAAGGCCTTTTGAAAATGCCTTCAGTTGATACTCATCCAGGGAGGGTAGAAACTGTAAGAATGATGTATTAATTTCACTGTCCCTCACTATAATTTAATAGCGAAGAGAAAAGCTGAAGGGCTGGTCATAATATGAGGTTATATTAGCCATACACTTCTAAATCACAGTGCATAATTTTTTTGTGTGTGGTTTGTTGGTATTTTTTAACAAAGTTTTGAATTAAAATACAAGAAAAACCAACAATTCGGCTTTGGACCGGTTTTAACTTACCAAATCTTGGTGCTGATCTAGGGCAGTCACTTCTTATTTGTTTTGTAGCACAATGTGGTATCATCTGTAGACCTACAGAATCTTTAAATCTGATACATTGCAAACAAATACAATGAAACCGTAAACGTACTGAGTATACGTAAATTGTTCTCTGCAAGGTAATTCAGACTCAGATCCCTTTCTGATAATCAAATATGCTACTGCTATTTTCCGACTTGGTACAGAAACCATCAACCTGGGTGGAGTTGGAGTGGCCAAAGGAAAAAGGCAGGCAGTAGTCATCATCTGCCAAAATGACCCATTCAAAACGTCACCGAACTGATCATTGGCTTCAAACATGAAACAGTTTCTCAAGAAGACGCTTCAAGACTGATTTTAAGCCTAAAATAGGTAAATTTCCAGACAAAAGTAGAGAGAACAGAAATATTTCATACATGTTTTAACTGTTAATATATCAGCATCAATTATTATTTAACATTAAAACAAAGAAATAAATGACAGGAAAAAATGTGAATCATTATTAGAATACAAACCAAGTCTGACATAGTGACTTTCTGATGTAGAATCTATGAAAAAGTTATTATCTCATACTACAATAATATTATCTGATTTATGTGTTTAAATTATGAGAATAAATCACTTATATTCCATTATTAACTTTTGGAAACAAAAATGTACTCCATCCTATTCTCTAAACAGATGTTTAATCTAAGTGAGCTCCACCATTTCACGTTTCAGCCTTTCAAGTCTGAAGGTGCACATTTCACCAAAAGAATCAGTTTTCTTAATGACACTTCATTATTATATTTTAAATTATTTTAGTGCCTTATAATATGACAGGCCTGTCTTTTTCATTTCAGAGTTTTGTATGTACTTTTAAGAAGTATTGGCAGTCAAATAGACATAATTTTATTTAAACCCACGTAATGTTTCTAAATTTCTTTCTTTGTCGAAGGTTTTGCTCCATGCATCCTTTGGGTGGCAGAACACACACACCACGGTGCACATACGTAAAGTGACAGCAATAACAAACAGCAGTGTAGCATTTGCCTGCCAGCTTTAGGTAACTTTCTTGCCTTTGTGCTGCAACATTTAAAAGATGTTTGTGCTTTTCACTTCCACAGTCCCTACATTATAAGCACATGGGAAGAAAACAGTAATCAACACTTTGTTGGGTTGTGCTCTCAGGTGAAATAAGGACACTCCGTTCAGGAAACTGTATGTTGAAGAACCTGATCAATGTGGCTCGCACAATTCTTCCTAGGACTGCATTTACCTCGCAGAGTAGTTTTCTATAAAATCTTCTTTCCACTACTAGGAAATCTTTTTGTTGTTTGTTTGGGGGTTTTTGTGTTTGTTGCCTTGGTTTGTTTTTCTGGAAAGATACAGCTGGATAATGGAAACTGGTTGTACTACTTCAGGCCTGGCATTCTCACAGATTGACACCACTCAGGTAAATACCTCTCTATGAGTATCTACAAAAGTTTACAAAGAACAGTTCAAACATGAAATCATTCTCTCATTCTACTAGTTCCTGCCCAGCAGATTCCAGCTGTGTAGATTAGGTATGAAAAGGCTGCCTATGAAAGAAAAAGAATGCCCCACTGACTGTATTTTCTTCCATTCATATTATATTTTGGCAGCAGTTTTCATTTTTGTCTATTTTCATCTTCTTAATTTGCCGTATTAAAGTGGGATATAGGTCACTAATCAACGGAAACACATATCTGAGATTACAATTCTCCACCATAAATAATGGTTCGGCTTTTTTTAGTGTGATTGATGAATCTTATTTTTAACATACTGTGATGTTAACTTGTTTTAATTTGAACGTTTTTCCCCTATGTGTTCTGATGGCAAGTAACATCTCATTTTTGTTTTCTTAGCCTGGAATGCCATTTCCCTGAAGATTGCCAAAAATTGCAAAACTTTGTTTTAGTATTTTAATTTTACAAATATCTGAGTGAAACATTTTTGTCAAGCCATCAAGACTTAAACCATTATATTCCCTGGAACATACAAGTCTTTCAGTTAACTGATTACCTTCAGGCCCCTCAGGTTTTTTGATTGACAGAAATTTATTGTTCTCATTAAATGAGTATTCCACCAAAGTGTTATGCATGGAAGGTTTGCTATGCTTTCTCAACCTCAGATGTTTGTAATGTGTCCACTTACAAGCATTTCTGCAGTCTTATCAATCTAAATATCCTTCAACTCACTGACATCCAAAGCTACTACAGGGCAAGAAATAGATTTGTGTCTTCCTTTATCCTTTTGCTTCTGTATTATAAAAAGCAATTAATCTCTCATTTTCAGGTATTTTCAGTTTAAATGAGCTCCTTGGAAAAATACTGTTACACAAGCAACTTCTACAAATCACAAAGTGTGTTATAAGGGAGGACAGGTTGGGCTCTCTCTGAGCCTAGTCTAGATAAACTTGCATAAGATCTGAAATTTGGATAATACATTAGAAACTCAGTTTGCTTTATTTGGCTGGTAATGAACTTAGAACACAACACAGAGGTAACAAATACAACTGGAAGACGTGGGATGCATCTCTGAAGAACAAAAAGTTACAGTTATCACTGTCATTTTAAGAAAGGAGATACTATGAGGAAAAGCAGAGAAAAAGAAAAGAGGAGGCACAGAAAGTGCATTAGAGGATGAAATTGCTGGTAATTGTTTCCAGCCTAAAAAAGATTTTTTCACTCTAACACAACTTACCATTTCTGGTTTCTACTGCTTCCAGAAAATGATTGTTTATAGGACCTCCCTTTTCTTCTAACCCCTATTACAGTAGTTTTACATTACCCTTTATGCTATGGTCTGCTATTACTTACTACATGATGCCTGTTCATGCAGAGTGGTTACTAAGCATGACTTTCTATTTGTCCATTACTTTTTAAGAAGTCAAGTTATTTAGTGATTCTAATACTTATAAAACTATGTTATTTAGTGATTCTAATACTTATAAAACCATGTATGATTAACTTGTCTGAAAGTTACATAATCAAATTTGTATTTATAATGCAGGATTTAAAAATACTTACTCTATGTTCCTCCAATCTGATCTGCTAGCCAGTGTGAGAACAGGTGCTTTATTCTGGGCCAAGCTTTTAAGTACATCCTGAATAACGTTTTCTATTGCTTCAAGAACTTCAGAACTGAAACAAGGAAAATTAATGATACAGATCATATAATAAAATCTAGTTCTATGTTGAGTTTTGATCATCTATCCCCACTCCTACAAAAATCAAGTAATCCAAAACTGCTTCCAAGATATATTTGTTTCAAAAATGTGGAGGAACTCTTTTGGTTTTTAACTTTGTTTTGCTCAGTTTCCCTAAAATCTTTGACTTCCCATTCCAGATGTATGACTGAGGACACAATTAGAAGTACATTTCTATTCTATCCAGAAACCATCAAATTTTTCACCAGCTGAACTTCTAGACCAACTGGCTGGTTTGTGACTAGTGATTAATGTTTTACTATAAATGATGTAATATTGGCCTTGGCTATGATCTGGGCTACACTGTTTTTAAATGCTGTATATTTAAAAAATGGTCAAGAGTACAAATACTTCCTGTTGTACCATTGCACATTAACCTTTTGATCTGGTGCCCTGAACAAACTGTTAAGGGTTTTAATTATATGAAGGCTTTGTCTCAACAGATTCACTGTGAAAAGAATAAAATCTGTATCTTTCACCTAAAAAGACAAAGTAGCCTTGCAGCAGATCCCTTACAGCAAAACTGTAGGCTGGCTTGAGTGTTATGACAGATGCTTTTTATTTTCATAAGTCATCTGACTCCAACATTTCAGCTGTCCTTAAAATTACAAGTGCACTATATACCATCATAAGTTCAGGTAGGAATTACAAGAACAGACAAAACTTATTTTAACTCAAAGTTTTATCAGCAAAGTCCAATTTTGTCATTAAGTAATATACTAAGAAAAGATGAGTCAATACCAGTGCACACCACACAGAATGAATTATCCCACTGTTACAAAATCAGCAAGAATGATTTTTACAACCTAGCTATGAGTCTCCTTAAAAAATAATGAAGTGTCATTAAAGTTCTCTTCTATCAGCTGAACATGTTTCTTCCATTTTGTAGCTCAGCTTCCACCTACCCCTCATTCTGTTGAAACTAGATTATCATTCTTTGAAAGCAATTTCTGGAAAGGATTAACCTTTTATTTTAAAATGTTATTTGTAATAGTGTCTGTATTAAAAAACCCCTACTAGTATTTCTAACATTTTTGTCCAATAATATTAAACCGTTCAACAAACACAATGTAAGATTTTTCTGGTTTTCAGATGAGTAAACCTGGAGATAGAGACTCATGTCTTTCCAAAGGTAAAACAGTGAAGTATTTGCAATGCTGATAATACGAGAAGGCCTGGTCATGCAGCCAATATGTAAATTAATTTTCTACTGTATAATAGCTTCATAATCAAGTCCAAGATTCCCTAACTTTCAGACTCATAGTCTTTTCCTCCAAATTGAAATCCTACATCTCACTGCCATATCCAAAACAGAAATTCTATTAAGCACTAGGAAATGGTTGGCTGCTGAGCTACATGTGTAATGCAGCAAGTGGTAAGAGTAAAAAAAGTAAGCAAAGCTGACTATGGTGCAGACCTCCAACATAATAAAAAAATTGAGTGTTGAAGATAATAAAAATATGTGTGGGCAGATGGATGAAGGAACTGATAGGCAGATAGGAAATCTAAACCAAGTTATTGCTTTGATAGTCATAAATATTTTACTCATTCACTTGATTCTGTCCACTGTAACAGTCTTTTAATATTCCAGATGTTCTTCAAAGTTTGCTGCAGAATTTGAAAGTCCAGGTTTCTGTTCCAATCCCAATTTCATGATTTGTTGCAGAAATTGTAAAATGGGGCAGAATAGGAGTAAGAGAACAGTAATTCTCTGTGTACCCCCTGCCGATATTCTGTCTCTTTTTGCAGAGATTAACTGAATTTTAATAAGCAAATATACAATATTGGCCAAATATGCCTACTTAAAAATCACTCTGATTTAGTTAACAGCGGAAGGCACTGTATATCTCACAGAATCATCTAGGTTGGAAAAGATCTTGAAGATCGCCTATCCAACCATAGGGTTTGCCTGATCATTTCTAACAGGTTGCATCATGAGTAGATACTTGTTTCTGTATAGCACAAGAAATTATCTTCAATATTAATATAAAATATTAATATTATAGCACCTTTAGCAAGTAAAAAATATAAACACACAAGAGAAACAATTACAAATACAAATATGCAATTCAATAAACTAACACACTCTAAAACCTAGAACTGTACATTGCTAAAGCCATACAGTTCCCATACCCTGCCACAAAGACCTCTTTTTCCTTTTAAAATACTTTTAAGATGATCCCAGTCTGTTCTAGCCTCTGAGGCTGATATACTGTGTATGGAAAGAGTCTTTTAAAAAATGATGGGTTTTGTTAGTGAAATTCAGTATATTTGTTTTGTCATGGTTTTCTATATTTCTCTCTGTACCTACAGACTTTTTGAAGATTTCTGGGGGAACAGAGGTGCTGTTTGCAGTGTGAGAGCCCCTTTCTTTTTGTAGAGGCGTGTTTTCCACCTTTGCCAAGCCCATTAGGTGCAATAGTGCACTACCTATTCAAGCATTACCACAGAAAGAGAGTATGGGTGCTATTTTTCACACTTTTTACCTAGGGATGTGGCTCTCATGGCCAGACAGACTTGTTTCCCTGAAGCTGGCCTTGCTCCCAGTTGGCACTTCAGTGGAACACACACTGTGGTCCTCCATAAAGATTGGTGCAGACCAATCCAACTTCTCTGGAAGGGATGAAGCCATGTTAAAAAGAGGCAAAAGAGATTATCAAAGAAATGGGAAAAGGCTATTCTGTGTGCTGGACTTAAAACTCACGATCTGAGGTTAAACCATAGGGCCAGAGAGAAAAAGAAGAAAATTACTGTAGAAATCAAAGTCAAGATCTTCCCACCCTTCCTGACTGATTAACCAAGAGCTTTTCCCGCCCCTTTTAACAGGCAGGAGATGGCCCTGCCCTTCCTGACTGACCGAGGGCTCTTCCCGCTCTCCCTGACTGACTGAGGCCTTCTCCTGCTCTCCCTGACTGACTGAGGGCTCTTCCCGCTCTCCCTGACTGACTGAGGGCTCTTCCCGCTCTCCCTGACTGACTGAGGGCTCTTCCCGCTCCCCCTGACTGACTGAGGGCTTTTCCCGCCTTCCCTGACTGACCAATGGCTTTTCCCGCTCTTGGTAACAGACAGGAGGTGGCCCCGCCCACCCTAACAGGATCCTTCTCCCACCCTTCCTGCCTGCCCATGGCCTCCGCTGGGAGCTGAACCCCAAACCATCTCTGGAGTTGCTCTGTGTGTGGGCAGACATGTCGTCACAAGCTCTGGAGCACCCAGATCTCAGGGGCACTGGAATAAACCTGGCCAGACTGGCTAAAAAGCGATCAAATGTCTCACCAAGACTTTTCTCACCCTTTTTGAATGACCAGAGTTTTTTTCCCCTCAATATCAAATGTCTTTTCCGAACAGTTCTTAGTGGCTTTAAGAAAGCTGAAAAAGCTGAAAGCTCCAGTGCAACGCCAGATGTTGAGAAAGCAGCTTCCTTCCCTGCAATGAAATTCAACTTCTATTGAGGTTAAAGATTTAACACTATTTTTATCATTTGCCTGCAGCATTCTGATGTTTTAGAACAGACTTGGAATATGTTTTCAAATCTTTCTCAATACATTGTTTAAAACTTATGTTCTGAACAAACAATAAACACCCAATTCTAAGAGTCATAAATCACCTGCTTCCAAGGAAGCTGAGATCTGAGAAAAAAAATGCTAGATTTTGTAAGCTTACAGCAGAACCAGGAGCTTTATGATTCACATGGCATCTTCAGCCAGAAGGCATCACTTCAAAACTGACGATACATGGTCAGAGACAGATTGTGAGTTTGAAAAATGAATTTTTTTTAATGAGATTATCATTTTAGTGCATTTCCTGCCTGTTGTTCACCTTTTCCTACAAAAGGTGTTCATCTTTTCCTACAAAAATTCCAGCTTTCACTTTAAAACTTTTACACTCACTGTGATTTTAAAGAGAAAATAAAGTACTTTTGGGAGACGTTGTGAAGGGCAGAAGGGCGCACCAGTGCGTGGCCAGTTCCTGTTCATTGCCTCAACAGCCCCCCTGTAGCCCCAGGTCCTCCTGGTGCAGAGCTGCATGCTCGGTGAGTTTTGAGTGCAGAGATCAGGACTCCTTCACTGCCAGCTTGATGGTGAAAAAAAACCAAATCCTAAAAATTTAAACTGCTCTTACCTGTTTTCAACTCCGAACTACATCATTGTAATTGACTGCCTGATAATGGTCATTCTGAGAGTGTTAGCAGTTACCTAGGAGATAAACATCTTAAAGTTTCTTCTTTCTAGAGAAATTTTTTTAAGGGCCACTGTTGATAACATCATTTTTTATGCACAGCAGACAATAATATTGGAAGCTGTGCTGTATCTAGCTCACTGCCAACAACATTTTGAATGTTGCGATGCTTAGACTTGTTGTTAGCAAATTAAATGACATAGTGTTTAAAATGTTGAAGGCAGCTGGTTTCTCCTACTGTTCCATTAGCTACTACCACTGAACCTTTCTTCTTCGATATTCATAAGAGTAAGCAGTCCAAACCCAGCTTGGGTAGGTAATTAAAAAATTCATGCATTGATTTATTCAAGGAAAACCTGAGGCTATGATGATATGAACACAAGGTGCTTCAATTAACAGGCAAGCAAAAGAAAGGGGAATTAATAAATTGAAATTTTCAGATCTTTCATCTAAGTCTTTGGCCTTTAGGTACCTTGAGATCACTCCGGAAATATTTATGTAAAATGTCTGTAGAGCTCTCCAACAATTCAACATCAAAATCAACAGATTTTTGTTTGATATAGAACTGACGAAATTATATCATGCCCCTAGCAACAGACTGCAAACAAAACTATATACATCAACTTGTGAGAACCTAATTTAATGACTTGCCTCTTCTTCATAGTAGCAAACAGAAACTATAAAAAAGCACAACCAAAGTACTCAATGCCCATACTTGAGTTAACAAAACAGAGAATGAAAAACAAGCAACAATAACAAAAATTTCCATGCTTCAACCTTAATATTGCACACATATATGTAAATATATATGTACGTATATGTAACCATATAAACTACTATCCATAATATGACCAGTAAATGAACTACAATCAATAAATGAACTAGCAAGTTCATTTCCTAATGCCCTCTTCCTTTATTTATTTCCTTTTAAAATTCTGCTTGAAAAACAAAAAAAAAGAGAGAGAAAAATAATTTAAATTGCAAATATTGACTGCATTATTATATATATGAGAAGGAAAATTATTAGGAAAACAAATAATGCATGACTACTAAATCTTACGTTGGAAAGAAAAACATAAAAACCCCAATGTAATCAATGCAGTTATCTCAGTGTTTGTTTTGCTTCTACAGAGATGTGCAGTAGAGGGCACCACAGATGGCAGAGAAAAGATTACTGCTTTGAAGCTGTTAAGTTCAACACTATGATTTCACTCATCCTTGTTAAAACAAGTATGACAGGTAATGAAATACTTCCAGATCTGTTTGCTTTAAAAGACAGCCTGTTACCAAAAATTCTGTCTCAAAAGAATTGTCTCCTATTATAAACATACGCTCTTATCAGGATACTTTTGGAGGAAGCTATGGTATGAAATAGTCTGTATGAACTGTCTGATGCCAATTTCGAAGTCTGTAACTGCTGAAGAAGAACCTGCCTGGATCAAAACCTGTTGCTATCACTACATACTACACAACAAAAGAGCTATACAGAACAAAAATGTGCATTTATCTTGGTGCCAAGATTTTAAATTGCTTGTTACTGATTTCCCATATATAAATAACTGCATCAGTAGAATAAATTATATATAAAACATGTAAAAGCGTATGTATGCGTTTTCCTTTTCTTCACTGCATACCTTATGAAAAGGTATTTCCTCTTTTCACTTCTAGTTAGTCTCTCCCATTAAGTTTACATGGTTGCTGTGGCAAGTATTTTTCTCCATATGGTCTGTCCTTAATTCTTTTAATAGACTGGTAGGCACACCAGCGGACCTGATATGCCTATTTTCAATTAATGTCAAATAGCATGTGAAATCCAGTCTTTCACTTAAGCCTAAAAAAAAAGGAATACCTCTGTAAAAGGTAGTGATTCAGTGCAAGCAGAAGTACTTGGGCCAGTTGGGAGTATTAAGAAGATAGATGGAGGTTTAAAAGCTACAGTAAGAACAGGGAAAAAAAATCCACACCCACCATTTAAGAGCTTCTTGAGAATATGGCTACTGTGTTCCAGCAAGATTCAATTCTTTCCATCTTCCTTAGTTGTTATCTGGATAATCCTTGGAAGGACAGGCATTTTGTGAGCCAACAGGTTTTACTATGAATAAGTTAGGATGAGACAGGAGCCAGATTTATCACCTGCCAGTTAAATGAAAAGTTACAGATCTTTTTCTAATGAGCAAAGCCCAGAGACACAGGACATGAAAAGTCATTCACTACTAACAGCTAACAACTTCAAATGGGATATCTCCTTCCAACTAACATGGCTGATTGAAAAAAAACCCAAAACTAATACATGTTTTCAGTTTACCTAGCTCTGGAGTGAGAAACACCTGTAAAATATTTATTCTATGGTGAGCCAAATCACTATAAGAGGAAGTGGGGTTTTGTTACCACCCCTTCTTTTTATTTTTATCTTTTAGCCAGAAATAAACTCTAACACTGTTAAGAAAAAGACTTTTTCTTTCATCTAACCTCTGTCACAGTGATTTCCAGATCCAAAATTTTCTAATGCTTTGAGGGGCAGTAATGTATTCTGGGTGGTAGGGCAAGACAGGTATTTGAGACAAAGAAACACAAAGTGAACTCAATAAAAAAATACTTTTTCCCAGTTTAGCATAAATGTCACATGCACTCTGGTTCACTGACAATAATTAAGCTGCAAACAGGCAGGATTATGTGAGTGAACATCTGAAGACATAATTTTTATGTGATGAGAAGACTGATCTTGCCCAGGACTATCAAAGCTACTATTTCTCATTCCTAAACTGATCTCACCCTAAGACAGGACACTCCTTCAGCCTCTTTCTCTTTCTGTAGTGCCAGTTACTGTTTCAAATTCTCATACTTGCTGGAGTTTTAAAACAGGAACTGCAGGCTGTAGGCATATACCCTGCCTGAAAAACAAACAATAAAAAATCAGTTGTAGTAGCTCTGAGGCTTGGATAAGTTAGATGAAAACAGGAATAGAATTTTATGTTGGGCATTCTACTACTTTTGTTATTCTTTTGAAGAGGATGTTGTGGAGGAACATACAGAAAATATTTTGAAACATCCAAGACTCTGTGTGTTACAGAATCATAGAATAGTTTCAGTTTGAAGGGATGTTTAAAGTTCATCTAGTCCAACCCCCCTGCAATGACCAGGGACATCTTCAACCAGATCAGGTTGCTCAGAGCCCTGTCCAGCCTGACCTTGAATTTTTCCAGGGATGGGGCATCTATCACCGCTCTGGGCAACCTGTGCCAGTGTTTTGACACACTCATCGAAAAAATTTCTTCCTTATATCTAGTCAGAATCTACCATCTTTTAGTTTAAAACCATTACCCCTTGTCCTACCACAACAGGCTCTACTAAAAACTCTGTCCCCATCTTTCTTACGAGCCCCCTTTAAGTACTAAAAGGCCACACTAAGGTCTCCCTGGAGCTTTCTCTTCTCCGGGCTGAACAACCCCAGTTCTCTCAGCCTGTCCTCATAAGAGAAGTGTTCGATCCCTCTGATCATTTCTGTGACCTCCTCTGGACCTGCCCCAACAGGTCCATGTCCTTCCTGTGCTGAGCATAAGTGACTGCTGAAAATAAAACAGAGATGTTTTGCTGTTGAAGAACCTACAGGTCTCTCACATACAAATAATAAATATAATTGTCTATATTATGGACAAAACATTAAACTCTTTCTCTGCTGTCTTCCATATCAAAATGCTCTGACAGCTGAATAATAAAAGATAAGGCAAATACATGGCACCTAATGCCCATCTATTTCTAAGAGAGATAAACACTTATCTTTTACCTATTACCCCATTTTGCATTGCTAGGAATGGGAATCAAATTAAAATTTGGACTGAAATGCTTATATAGCAGCTAAATAAATAATAAGGCTAACAAGGGAGTTCCAGCCAATTCCCTCCACTCTCTCTGGCAAGTCCCAGAAATCAGCTGCTCTTTTTGTCCACATAGTAAAAATCTGACCAAACCCACTTACCACTAGTGGTAAGTTCTCTCTCCTATGGTATGTCATACCATAGGAACAGGAATAATATCTAATGAATTGATTTGTAAACATCTATATACTTGCAAAAATCCAGATCTGGTTTTAACTGAACATTGAATAAACATGTTATTAGGAAAAAATCTGATTAAAAAAATGTGTTAAAGGGAAAATATGTTGAAACAAACAAATGGAAGACATTTGTGCTAAAACATAACTGGAAAGCAAGAATGTCTTCTATTCCATGCTCATGTGACAGCTTGAACATAGCAGTCTTGGAAACAGCTGCACCATTTCTTCTGGCTTTCAAAAGGTAGAAAGTCTTGTTTATTTTCTGTTTTCCTTTTGTTGGCAAAATCCTAGAAAGCATGAAAACTCAGGTGTGATTTTGCTCTTTAAACCCAAAAATGCCAGCTGCTGTACATTAAAAATACTTGAGCCAAAATCTGTTCTTTCATTTATATGAACAGCTACACTAGCGCTGTCATGGCCCCAGATTTATGCCAACAGGTAAAACTCGAGATGGACTTTAGACCTTTGTTATTAACTATTTAATAATGCCTGGGGAAAATGAAGTAAGAGGATGACGTAGGAGTCTATTCT